AAGTGTATTTGTGAGGTCAGATACTGAGAAGCCTTGGCTTGCAGTCTCCACTCTAATTTACCCTTATTGGGTTGAGGCCATGGCTCTGTGCAGGCCAAAGTTATCAACTTATCCATGTCTTTGTGGACGCTGGTGCACAGTCATGTTGGAACAGGAAGGTGCCATCCCCAAACTGTTCCTACGTATTTGAGAGCATGAAATTGTCTATGATGGTGATGTAAGGCTTGGATGCAGCTGCTCAGCCATGGAAGCCCATTGGATGAAGCTCTCCACACGCTGTTCATGAACTAATCTAAAGGCTACATGAAGTCTGGAGGTCTGTCGTGATCGACTGCACACTAAGTGCCTAAGCATCTGTTGACCTCGCTCTCCTCGTGGAGTTGCTTTTGTTTCCAGTCGCTTCCTCTTTTTATAATACCACTAACAGTGACTGTGGAATATTCAGTATAGAGGATTTCATGAGTGGACTTGTTGCACAGGAGGTATCATGTCACGGTACCATGCTGGAACTCATTGAGCTCCTGAGAGCGACCCATCCTTTCACAAATGTGTGTAGAAACAGTCTGCATGCATAGTTGCTTGATTTTATACACATGTGGCTGTGGAAGTGATTGAAACACCTGAATTCAATGATTTGGATGGGTGAGTGAATACTTTTGGCGGTATAGTGTATATGGATTTATAAAAGGTAAAAATAAAAGAGCAATACAATAACAAAATATTAAAATAACAAGATTAAACCTGACTAATCTTTAAGTGGATGCCACTATAAGAAGTCTCAGTTTAACATGAAACATCAGCATTACGTAAATAACAGGCTCTCCTTTGATTGGTCAGTCAGTCTGGGTCATATGACTGGCTGACGTATGATCCAGCTTAAATGATTGAGCATTTTTTCACACCTTCTTGTATCACCTAGTCGAATCCCATACAATGTCTTAGTAAGAAGGCTTTCTATTTCCCCTGCACCCAAACACCCGTCTTTTGCACCTCCTGCCTTTTAAGGACACTGTGAATTACAATACAACTTCATTTGTTTATTTATACAGCAATAAAAGGGAATATAAGAACAAAGTTACTAAGAACAGATATAGCTAAAAGATAAAGTACATAAATAAGAAATTGAACCAAATATAAAATAGGGACACTAACTAGATGGAAAAGCTATGTTGAATAAATTAGTTTTTAAACGGGATTTAACACTAGATTTACTAAACCTGCGCTAATTTGCGTAACTTCCCTAAACCCAACACCTACTAGAATTACTGGCTTTTTTATTTTCTGGTGCAAGTCCCAAGGTGTTAATCACCCCTGCTGAGATTTTCCACAGGTCGTCAGCTCGTTTCTCCTCCAGCTTTTGTTGTGCAAACCACCCATTATCCTTGAGGCCTGGCACAT